TGAAATCTTTATTCTGTGTCTTGATTGTTTCTATCAATATCTTTTCTCATTCAGCTGCAAGACGAGGTGAGAGAGATGCAATTTTTATGTTTTCTATCACTTTATCCCATTTTGGACAGCAGCTACCTGATGCAGATATGCAAAACTTAGCAAATGCAATATTCATTAAGGCTGAAGAGTGGGGTGTACAAATACTGTGGCAAAAATCATAAAATTAGGGGTAGGAGTATGATTGATATTTTATAGGTGCTCATATTGGAAAAGGAATTATATTAGTCTCAAACTCAGTTGAAATGCTGTATCTTCTTATATTTATTTATGGGAATATTTTGATCACCATTATAATTGTTAAAATGAAATCAATCATGTAAAACAGTGGGAGGTTATGCCAAAAAACTGAGGTGTGTGTCATACTCTAGGGTGTGATGTACGGTAGATCCACTGCACAGTATTTTCTTACAATAAAAAATATTACGATACTGTAAATTATCATGAATGTTATGCAGCCTTTTCTCCTTGTCAAGGTTGAAAAAGTGAGCTAGATTGTACAGTAATTGAGGTACTGTGATCTGCCTACAATAGTGGTATGATAATGTTGATGTGTAAGTGTATCATAGCAATGCACAATACTGTACTCTTGATCCCTCATAAAAACCCAAATCCCCTTGTTTGAACATGATGGAAGTACAGTACAATTTTTCTGCCATTTACTTCTTGTGCTGATCAGATAATAAAATTATATGTTTCCATATTTTCCTGAAAAAAAAATTAAGGAAAATAATCAACCCCCTTTTATTATACTAATTTATTCAGAGGAACGAAAAGTTTTTATTTTATTTTAGAAAATGAGTTTACAATATACAGTTTTTGTCGTGATTTTTAAAATAGTTTTATTTGTTGAGGAGAAGAAATGGCCTGCCTGACCATTTAAAGCATGACATGCCTTTCAAATCAACATGTGTGTTTTGATGCTTATTTTTGCAGGAACTTTCCATCGCAATAGATGCAACAAAACAGTGGATATTTATGAGCAAGTTTCTTCTCCGCCAGTCAAGGACAGGGTCTTGGGCCAGCCAATAACTTGCACATATCACTTGAACCCATTTTTGCAGGAACTTTCCATCGCAATAGATGCAACAAAACAGTGGATATTTATGAGCAAGTTTCTTCTCCGCCAGTCAAGGACAGGGTCTTGGGCCAGCCAATAACTTGCACATATCACTTGAACCCTTTCCCAAAGAAAAACTCAGAGTGGGCCATAACACTGAGGTTTGAAAAATTCAAGGTTGGAAGTTTGGTCAATGGAACAGTCTGCTCTGGGGGATACCTTCAGGTGAGTGCTTTTTAAATAATAACTTATAACTGATAGTGGTTATATTGCTGCTGGTCTCTTGCCAGCATAATTAAATATTGAAAAGTTTGACTGTCTATAGACACATGGAAGAACCCANGGAACAGTCTGCTCTGGGGGATACCTTCAGGTGAGTGCTTTTTAAATAATAACTTATAACTGATAGTGGTTATATTGCTGCTGGTCTCTTGCCAGCATAATTAAATATTGAAAAGTTTGACTGTCTATAGACACATGGAAGAACCCAGATATTGACCTTGAACATGGTTGCAAATAATTATGCAGTCAGTTTTTCTTGTCTAAGAAAAGCTTGTGTTTCAGTAACAGTTGCAGCTCATTAATTGTTTGTTACATTCCTACTTGAGGAACTTTCTGTTGCATACTCCACTTCAAATTTAAATATCCATTTAACATAATTTGTTTTGCAATAAGAAGTGACTCATTTGGAGAGCATCCAGCAAAAGGAAAGCAATTTTATGTGAAGTTGAGTTATTTTATGCCAGTGCAGAAAAAATTACAATAGTGAATAAAATCTATAACATCTGAGTAAATTGGGAGATTTCTTTCAATTGACAAGTGCAGTGTAAAATATATCAGCTCATAAAACGGGTTATTTTTTTTCAGATACTGGATGGAAGGAACTTGACAACTGCAGTTGCCAGAGGACCTCACAGTGGAGTAGGTGGAGCAGGAGGTTACTTCTGTGGAGAAATTGAAACTTCAAAGGAGTACACATCTGAAAGTGATGAGCTCTACATAATCTTCCATGCAGACAATTATGATGAACAGTCCTATTTCCTCTTTGAATCCAGGGCTGAGAAGCAGAAAGAAATCTACATCAGGTGAGACTTTTTCTGTATTTTATAAATTCAAAATTGTTGACTCAAAAAATAACTGCATGGTCAAGGATGTTCAACATTTCCCTTGACAATTTGACATTAAATTCAGAAGGGGATGCTGGCCCAAAAAAGTTAATCTCTTCAAATGCTTTGATTTCAATTTATTTGAACACGTTTTAACCATGCAAGAGTATACATTTAAAGTGCAATGATCAAAGGTCGTCCTTAGAAACTTTTCTATCAGATTTTAAATGTTCATAATGTTGATGAATCATTTCGCTGGAGTGGTAAATTAAGCAAGCCTTCATATTTTTTTTTTAAAGCAAAAGACAGCATGTCTCAAACTTGCCAGCAATCATTTTTGTTCCATCAGATTAAGAGGTTGGGAATTGATGTTGCAACTGAGTGTTAGTGACATCTGTCATCAAAAATGGAGCGGAGATACCAACATGACAACTAGCATAGATTTCATGGTGGACGGAATGAGGTGTGAGGACATTATGATCTGTCCTCCAAAACCATTCACTGCCAATGACTGCAACCATGATTACATCAGAGTGTTTGATGGGGATTCCCCTTCAGCACCTGTCATTGGTGAGTTTTGTTATAGGTTTTTCTTCACACACATGAAATTTCTGAATTCCTGTGTATATAGTTAGTTTAAATTAATCAGGCTCACAAAAACTTCAGCAGCCTGATGAAAAACAGAAGTACTGAAATATTTCAGTGACTTCCAAGGTCATGTGATTTCACTGGGTCAGCCAGAATGCAGGATTTCTGTATTTCTTCTATGCTGGGACATTATTTTCAATTGATGCAAGTTTGTATCAGAATCACTAGCTGTTGTTTCAAAACTTATACAGAGGAAATCTTGTTGCAAGTATGATTCCATGGGATGAAGAAAAAAGCTTGTCATAATAACAAAAATCATTATACCAAATTTTCATACATAGAGACATTGGAACATATTCTATCCAGAAATGAAATGTTTGTTCCTTTGAACCCCTGTGTTTTTTAAGGCAATAATTGGAACATATTCATGGAAAATTTAAATTTCCATGCACAGTAAAAAATTAGCACAGAAGAAGTAAAACTAGTGGAAATAATTTACACCAGTAAAAAGAAAATCTTCTTACAAAATCAGCAAGTTAGGATTCTTTTTCATAATTTTGTTCCTGATTGACTGGAGAAAAATAAACATGAAGCTCACTGGCTTTGGTGGTAACAGACACAAAATTCAATTTCTTGTATAGTACTGAAGCTATAAGTTTGCAATATAGCAATATTTTTAGATTTTTTTTCTTGCATGCTTCTGCTTGAGCCTTTGAAATTTCAGATTGGTTATAAAGGATTTTCATCTTCAACTTTACAATAGATTATTCTTTAACAGACCTGGATCTTCTCCACAAAAAAATTTCACATTGCAGAAAGTCAAACTCAAAGGTATTCTTTGGCAAAAATCTGCTGAGTAAAAAAATTTCTAAATTCTCCCCATAATGGCATCTCATAGAAGTTATCAAATGATTAACTGATGTCTACATAGATATATATTTCAAAAATAATAATTAAATCATGTAGCCCAATAACGGCTTAAGGGTCAAGATAAAATTGGTCTTTGCGCTATTTTGCCAATTTGTCTCGCAGGTACTTTTTGCGGAATGGACAGAGTGCCATTTTCGATTGTTGGGTCAACAAACAGGATGCTTGTCGAATTCAAAACCGGAGCCAATGCATCTCTGCTCAACACTGGCTTCAATTTTGAAGTTGCTCCTTTAATCGGATCACCGTTGATTGGATCATGGGAGATGCCTGGACGAAAAGCTGGCTTATGTAATTGGGTTTTCACATCAGAGGATTTGGAGAAATCTGGAGATTCTGAAGGAGTTTTCATGTCTCTAACACACTGGCATAAACCAGGCACAAGGTGCACTTATAAAATCACTGGAAGGGAGGATGAAGTTGTGAGGATGTACTTTCTGAGGTAAGAAGCATGCATGTATTATTATGCAGAAACATGACAGATTTGAATTTACTCAGTTACAGTCCAGTTTTTTCAAAACTATCAGTGGAGTTTGAAAGGACAGTTTCTGGACTTGAATACAGTATCTGAATGAGAACTGCAGGAAAAATAAACTGTTTGTTAACAACTCATCAAATTTCCTAAAGCAATCATGGGAGTTTCTAATGCTTTCACATTTATGCTGTACAGGGAAATCTTGTTACAACAAAGCTAATGGGACAAGGGAAAATCTTTGTAGGATAACACAAAGGAACTGTATTTATGTGTTTCCCTTTATGAATTTATTCACAGCAAAGTTTTGGAGGTAAATCAGTACTCATTGTCCTGATACACTGTTTATATACCCCTTAAACACACTGTCTCAACTCTCTCATAGATTTGCTTCAAGGAGAGAGTGATGCACTTGGGAGTGAGGGGCTGCAGGGGCACACTGGCTCATATTTTAGTGGAGCACATATTAGCTCCAGCAAGATGGGCATCCACCAAATTTGTCATCA